GTCTTTTGTTCTTAACATCATTTGTGGAAATTACTCTTTCTGACTTTGGAAATAGTTATTTTTCCATTTCTTTCCAACAACAGCCTTCTATTACAGACTTTGCAAGCACAAATCTCAAAGTCCAATCACTAATGCTTATCAATTTTCTGAAATAACTAAGAAATCTATAGAAATGTAAACAAAACAGACATTATGAACATTTCCAACATTCATTCAAAATACTTACATATTTGTATTTACAAAGTTAATAAATCTTGAGACTTGTCCTTGTCTGACAGAACACACAAACTTAAAGAAAAACATTAATTTGGTTGGCTTGGACGCTTCATTTTATGAAAAATGTAATTCAGAGGTAAGTATTTGCTATTGACAGTCACAGTGGGTGTAACAGTTTTCAGCACACCTCCTCAGAATGGGGAAGTTTAAATTACTTGATGTTTGACTGATCAAAGTTGCTATTTTTGGCACCTATATTGTAACCTATACTTATACAAGCTTATTTCTATATTTTATTCCACTATACCCATACAAGAGAGCTCTGGAGTGTTATTTTTCTTCTTTGACAAACTGTTCTTTGGCAAATATCAAATTATTCAAGCCTTTAAGTGACCTGTTCTTTTTCCAGTGCAGCAAGTCTTGGGTAAACCTGTTGCTGCTTTACCTCAGGTGAGGAGCATTTTATAACATAGTTACACAAACTGGACTGGTAAGAAAAAAACCAAGGTAACCATATCAAGAAATGGCATCTACATCTACACTGGAAAAATCTACAGTTACTGGTGCAGGGGTTATGTCACTGAAAAAATTACCATGTCCCTTTAATATTGCCAGGGGGAAACTGGAAAAGGATCCTTCTTTAATTTTGTAGTTAGGAGACACCAAGGATCAATCATTTGTCATATTCAGTGGAAAGCAGAAGCGTTATCTAAACGTAGGAACTGTGCATATCTTGCTTTAACTGATTAACTCAAGATTATGGAGTTAGGTTTGGTCTTAATGATGAAATTTTTCTAATGTGGTTCTAATCTTTAATTTAAGTCATATATAAAATATCCATCATTATGTCCTTTTCCCCAGGTAATTCATATGAAACAAGATATATGAATATTGGGTGCCTCAACTGGAAGAATTTCAGTGAAAAATTACCCTGATAACTGAAAAGAAGGAATGAAAGGGGGAAAAATAAACTTAATAATCTATCTGCAACTGCTTTTATGAAATCAGAGTTACAAATAATAAATAAAATATTATATAAATACAAAATTAGATATGATTAAAACAAATACAGATATAAATGTGGAAACAGATATAACTGTTTCAAAAAGTACTTTGTTTAAATGTGTTTCCATTGAGGACTATGTTCAATAATAGTTTATCTTCCAGTCAGAAGATAATCAAAAATTCAATTCCCTGTTTGCTATGGGCTTTATTATTTTATCTTAATTTGGAGAAAGATGATTATAATTCATTAAAACTTTTCTTCAACCAAGGAAAATCAGAGGCTGGGTCTGTATTTAGAACAGTTTTCCTATAACTGGAGAATGATACTACTTAAGAAACAAACAAGAACTATTGCTTCAAGTCATTTACTCCTTCATTTCAAGGAGGATTAAAATTTTGTCTTTAGGGTAGCTAGTAACACATTATTGGTATTCAATATCAATTGATTAATAGTCAACATAAGTCACAATCTTACAATTAATTCAGAAGGTATTTCTCAGCTACCTCGTTAACATAAAAATCCCAATCAACCCCTGAGTTTATTTCAAAAACCAATCAACCCATTTCTGTGTCATTTACCTTTGAGCAGATAAGAAGCTTACAAAAGTAAAATTACTGTGTTTGCTCAAAAACTCCTCTTCACTGATTTGCCACCAGCCTCTCCCCAACCAGCAGCAGCATTTTCAAAGATTCTCTTCTCCCATGACCAATATTTTACTTGTCTATTTCAATTCTTAGACTAATATATCGAAAGCTCTTATTTCTTGAAATACTGAAAAATGTAATATTTAATTTCCTATGTAAAGAATGCTGGATTTGTGTGAGGGAGAGAGGTATAGGACTAGATTGCTTGTGATCATGACAAACCAAACTTGTCTAAGCTGGTACAAAAAGTCCTGTTAGTGCTTAAAGCAGGGTAGGAGGAAAACAGTACCATTTGTTACCCAGCTGCACAGCAGGACCTGGAGAAAGTCCTGCTCCACATTCAATACCTTAGAAATTGGTAACTGCAAGATCTGCTTTCACACTGCCCTAAAAAATGACTAAGGATGTTTATATCTCAAGACTAGAGGTGCATCAATACCATTTCTACTGACATGTCATCATAGGACTTTAGGCACCAAGAGTGCTCTTTAGTCCCAGACAAGACACAATATTTCACTTATCATTTAAGCGGAGTTTTCAGCCTGCATTTTTTTTCCAATTTTTAAAAAAATAATATAAAAAAAGAAACAAAATCTATACCTGACTCAAGTGTAAACCAAAGGGAAAAACTGACATTTTTCAGAGGATGGTGAGGCACTGGAACAGGTTGCCCAGAGCAACTGTGGCTGCCCTGTCCCTGGGAGTGTTCAAGGCAAGGATGGATCAAGCAGCCTGGTCTAGTGTGAGGTGTCCCTACACATGGCAGTGGGGTTGGAAATAGATTTTTAGGACCTCTTCTAACCAAAGTCATTCTATGATGATGATTTTACCTCTTCTCAATGCTAGAATTTCTTCACTTAAAATAACAACAGTGTCAAAAAGGAAGAAGAAAAAAAAAAAAATCTTAAATGTAACTACACATTTAAGCTTTACTTCTGTGATTGCTCCAGACTCAGTAACACACAATACTTGGAGGAATTGGAATATATTTGAAGCCTTCTGTTTTTTTGACCTGTGTATGAGTTTGTGTGTTACAAAATTCTGCCTCTCTAGAGGTAAGCAGACACCATGTGCCACCTACTTGACTATTTTGCATCAGAGGTTTGACTTATTGAGAAGTAAGCTTAAAGCAAATAAAATGACTTTACCTTCCTGGCATTTGGCAGTCACACAGAAATGCAACAGAAGAGCAGAGTATGAGAGAAAGTCACTTCTCAGAACTGTGTTCAGAAAGAATAGCAAGCATTAAATTCAAAATGAACCATCTGTGACAAGCCCTAAGCAGTGCCTCATTTCAGTAAGTGCAAGCCTGGGAATGAAAGTGAAACTGTACGTAATTGTCAATTAAAATAATCTAATATAGACTTTTCTGCCTCTGGGGGGAGGGTGTGCACAAATTTTCTGGAAGTCCTCTCTTTTTTATTTTCTTGGCATAAATTTCACAGTTCAAGAGAACTGAATCACATCTGTAGCAAACATATATTACATATCTCATGGGAGGAAAGGTGCTAGAGGAGGCACTTTCACTATGGATCACCCCTCAGTAGTCCTGAGATAAGATAATATAACTTCACATCAAAATGAATTCTAAAACAATTTCTAAGAAAAGAGTGACTTCACATCAGAAATAAGGTACTTGCCATTCCTCTTTTGGGAAAACTGTATCTTATACAGTTGCATTTAGAAATGAAATCCAGAGTGTTTCTGTCGGCTCACTGAGACCATAAAAAAACAGAGCAATCGCAGCATAGCCAAGGTAAGTAGAAACACATGGAAATTCCTGCTTGCCCAAACACTATATATGTGTATATATATACTGTACATTGACTGGCTACACCTTTGGATTTACAGGATTTAAATCATGTCAAAATTTGGTCCTCAGAGTGTTCAGTAGGCATTTCTGGGAAAGGGTCCAAAAGAATTTTGTCAGTAACCATGAAGATTCTGTCATTTTATAAGATATAGGTTGCTGACTGAAAAAAAGATGTATTTTTAGGCAGTAAAATTGCAGTTTTAGTTCTTATTGAATTTGGACTTACACTGCAAGCTGTAAAAAATACTCAGCTAATAGAACATTGTGTATATTTATTGAATCTGGAAAATACCCCTGAGACAGCAAATCTCAGTGCTGCCAGGATACTTTCCAAAAGCACTGAACTAGAGCTGTATGTGTGCAAATACCAAGTGTGTTTCAAGGCCTTCCATTTTATTGGTACTACTTTGTAAGCTGTTTTGTCACCTGAATGAGTATATGCTTATTTAAGAATGTAAAAATCTTAAAGGTATTTTAAATTCTGTTTTATCGACATTCAGGTGTTAATCCATGTTTAAAATAAGACAGCAGTATGGCAGTAGCTTGCCTTCATGTTCCAGTTTCAGCTGGGATAAAATTAGTTTTCTTCTTACCAAAAGAGTGCTGTGTTTTGGATTCAGGATGAGAATATTGTTCACAACACTCAGATGTTTTGGCTGTTGCTCAGTAGTGCTCACCCTAAGTCAAAGAATTTTCAGTGTCTTTTGCTCTGCCAGTGAGAAGCTGCACAAGGAGCTGGGAGAGCACACAGCTGGGACAGCTGGTCCAAACTCTCCAAAGGGATATTCCACACCATGAAGTATCATGCTCATATCAACTGGAGAATTTGGATGGGAAGGGCTGGTTGTTGCTGGGGTCAGGCTTGACATCATTCAGGGGATGGTGAACACTGGTGTTATGCATAACTTGTTCTTGGGTTTTCTTTCTTTCTCTCCTTTTCATTGCAATTATTACTGGTTTTATCATTATTATTTTATCATTTTTATCATTATCATTATCAACTCTTCTTATGTCAACCCACAAGTTTTTACTTTTTTCTGATTCTCCTCCCCAGCTCACTGGGAGAAAGAGGAGTGAGAGAGCATCTGCATGGTACTTAGCTGTCACTGGGGTTAAAGCACAAAGCTTTAGAGTCGTTCAGAGTCCCACCACAATCAAAGCCTGTTTGCAGGACTGGACCTCAGCACTGAGAATGCCTTTCTGTGCATGCCTTTTGAGCAAATCAGGGACTTCCCAGGATCTCCTTCAGGAGAGCCACCCCAAGGCACAGCTGTGACTTAATCATCCTCCCTGAGATCTCAGCTGTAACTCTTTCCTCCAGGTATTCCTTTCAAGATGAAGAAGACATGTTCATGGTGGTTGATCTCTTACTCGGAGGTGACCTGCGTTACCACTTGCAGCAGAACGTTCACTTTAATGAAGGAACTGTTAAACTGTACATTTGTGAGCTGGCACTTTCCTTGGATTATTTGCAGAGATACCACATCATTCACAGGTGAGTGAATTTCACTTGAGAAATGGGCTGCTTGCTTTTGGCAGAGCAGAGGAATTTTATCATATATCTGTTTTTATATTTCTGTTTATTCAAAACCTCTGAAAAGTTCCCATTGCTATTCAAAGGTGGAACTTGTCTCTGAAAGGTTTTCTTTTTAAGTGTCCACACCTTTCTGTCCACACCCATTTAGTAGCCTTGTATCCTTTTCATACTGCCCTTTTCTCCTTCTGATCTCATAGTATGGATGTACATTTTTTACCATGGTCTTTAAACACTAAATACAACACATAATAGCATCCTGACTGCTTTTAATTTATTTTTAATTCTCCAGTGCCCCAATGTTACTGAACACAAAAACACAGTAATCCAGTACAAGAGCTTCCCACAACATCAGGGAACAGTTATAGAACCTAAAGCTGAGAATAATTTGTTTACTTGCAGCATCTGCATGAAGGTCAGGGGGAAGAGACATGGGGAAGTTGGAATAATAGCACAAATCAATTGTAACAATGAGAGAGGCTGCATCTTTTTTGTACTTTTCATATTACAGCAGTGTGTTAGGTTTTCTGACATACAGAAGCAAGGATAGCATTAATTTCAAAAAAGGTGTCAGGAATCAGGGTCTGTTTTCTTTAAACATTTTGACACTGAAGCAACAGGGATAACTTCTGTTTTTATATTAACACAACAACTATGAAATTATAAAATTATGGGTTTGAACCTTTATTTTACTCCTTTTTAGGCTAAATTCAGGGTGATCTTTTCTGATTTAGAGTGGTATGAATGCAAAAATACAGTTTTGTGTATACAAAATCTGGCTGTGACTTTCAGAGACCAAACTAAACAAAGTTGTGCCATAGATCACCCAAAGTCCAGTATAAACAAATTCCTTCAAATACATTAATGGAGAGTTTCCATCCCATCCCCTTGCAGAGCTTCCTCATGATTTCACAATAAAGATACAATAAAAAGTATGGTCTGACTTTTAGAGGAATGGTCAGCATGAAATCTATCTGAGCAGAGATGCAGTGGTAGGTGGATATGTTGTGTTACTGAAACTGTGCTAGACAAAATTCCCCTAATTATTACAACACTTGTTTTGCTTGCAATTAAAACTCAAAATATAATAAATCTTGCAAATACTGCAAGAAAATTCTTTAGTACACTGTTTCTATTTTAGAACATTTCCATGTATTTTGCATAAATTTTCTTTTCTCAGTGAGTATTTTAAAAGTGGAGCTCAGAATTAGAGCCAACCTTTGTTTTTAATGCCTTAAGGAATGTTCTTGGTGAAAAACAAATTGATGAGATCTTTTATGCAAATAGGCTGGCAAAATATTCATGAGACAATCCAGTTTGTAATCAAAACTTGTATTTTGCTAGAGGTCTGTAGCATAAAAATGTATCAAAGGAAAGCCTGAGAAAGGTGACAGATGTCTGGAAAGAATGAAGGGCTGGATTGAAGTCATTGTGGTTATTCATAGTTTTTTGAGACAGTGTCTGCCTTGTCATGGTCCCACTATGAAACTGGGCTTGGCACTTTTCTTTTGTGTTACTTAATCATAACAAGTAAACATATGACTATTTTTTTTTTTTTTTTTTTTTTTTTTTTTTTTTTTTGAGTTGTAGTTGTTCAACACTTGCTGATTTGCACTGAGGTGGGGGAAGACATGACCATCCAGAGCTCCTTGGTGGTTCCATTCAGGGTCACGTTCAGGGATTTGGATTTTGCTTTCACTCTCACCAAAATTTTTACAGAAAGAGATGAGACAAAATAGCACTCAGCCTGCAATAAGTGTCGCTGACTGGTTAGCTAGGATTGTTGTCTAGGACTTTGTTGTCATATGGAAGAGATTTTTATTTTGAAGCTGTCAATCCTGAGATCTGGGTGTGTTTGTCCCACTTCATTGCTTACTGCCCAAATTACCCAACTGTGGCACAAGGAGCCTTTTGCCTCTCATCTTCTCACCAGTTACCAAAAAATCACAAATGATCCACACACTAGTGAACATGTTATTTAGCCAGGTGAGTCCCAGAACATTCTGCCTTCTATCTCAACACCACCTGGAACAGCAGTCTGGGGGATGGGTCTTCAGCTGCCTTAAATCTCTGTAGCATGTCTGACATTCAAGTGCACAGCACTGACTTAAATTAGTTCAGGAGAAGAGCGTATAAATCCATATTTGTCACACATAATTCTGCAATAGTGGATCTATTTATTATGGCACAACTATGAATGCTGCTCCATGTCTCGCAGTTCTATTGTAAATGTTTGCATTTGCCTGGATGCTCACCCAGAATTATAAGAACTTTAAAAAGAAAATATGTAAGTTTCAAGCTATTATTTGAAGACTAATCTGAGTAAATTTTTCACTTAACTCATACAACAGCTAACTATAAACAACTAACTATATATATGTAACAGGTAAGAGTTACACCAAAAACCCTTATTTTCTCACAGCCCTGCTGTAATTATATTTTATCCATATTTCTCACACAAAAAAATGATTATTTTAAAGCTGGATGAGTGGTACTTCTTTTAGACCTTTGGATCCCAAGACACACAGGAAGGCCTCTTACAGTATACATTATCTCAAACATTCTCAAATTTTGGATCAAATCCAGAATTTTGCCATTTCAAGATGGTATGACTAAACACATTCCTTCCAAAACGGGTTGTATAATGCCAGTGAATAATATATTGGACAAAAGTTTTCTCATCAAAGGCTGAATAAACTTATTTCAGCCATGAGTAACTCAACCTCCTCCTTTCACAAATGTTGCTGTTCATACATTTCAATAAAACCACCTGCCTCCTCACCAAAGTAGGCTGCCTGTTTCCATTCAGTGAGTTCTTCCGGCAGTAGCTCGTGTTGTCTCTTCCAGGATGCTCTTGCAGCTACAGCCTTGGCTCAGAGCAGTGCTGGCCCTGCAATGCTGTGGCTGCTGCCCTGGTAACATACTCATGCTGAAAAAGTCACATTTTCTCTCTCTAAGGACCAAGAGTTAACTGCATTGCCCTCACAACTTTTCATCGTCGTCTGGCTCCATTGGTTTTCATCTGCTTAGAGAGTAGGCTGGATGAGGCAGATGTCTGGAATGGAAATTGCAGTAACCTTCCAGAGCAATTTTAGGATACTAGATTAGCTGTTTGATCAGTGTGCCCAGGACACTTTTATTTTAGTGGGGTTTATTTAATATAAAACTATTCATGTGTGTATGTGTACATATATAAGCATACATAAAAATTTATTTTTGAGCACAATATGACTGGAGTCAGCTTGTCTTGGCAGGTCTGTGCTGTGTGGCTACTGTGATCACTGGTCTGTTTTACATTCCTCCAAGTTCTGCTTCCAAGGGAGAACAGCACCAGGAGTTATTCCAGCTCTGAGTAGCAGCACAGGGTGGGCCAAAGCTAATGGAAAATTGTAGCAAACTGAACATTGCATTTTCCTCTGCCAGATGACCCACTGCAGACTAAGGTCGTCTTGCTACTACCAGCTAGACAAGAGTTACTCTGTGTTCAGAACTGGATCTGTTTATTCATTATCATTGAGTCTTCCAAGTTGTTTAAACGTCTGGTGAAATAAGATCTAAAAACTAGAAACTACATCTAAATGGTTAGACACTTCTTTAAAATGGGCCTTCCCTGTCTCACTTGTGACAACATACAACAAAAGAGCAAATTCTACTTAAAAGGGTGCCCTCCATGACATTTTCCATTTAGTATGTAAGCAGTAAATCATTTTGAAGATTACTTGGAAATGGAAAATTTGACCCTAGTTTTTGACAGGTGTCACAGGCAGAATAATGCCAACCTGTGATTTAGCTGGACATTCTAAATAAAACACAGTTCCTTACAGATTTCTGCTCATATTTGTAGTCTTTTACTTTTTGGCAAGTGTGTGTAGATGAAGAAAAAGTGTAGTAGGGTCTGAAGTAGATGAACTAGGGAAAAAAATAACCATAATATGACCACTATTCATGAGTATCAAAGAGACCAAGAGGCTCATCCATTGAATTTTCTTAGTTCGTGTTCCCATGTCTCTTCTATGGCACTTTTGCTCTTTATACAAGTGTATTTTGTTCTTTATACAAGTGTTAGCCCACATTATTCCGAGGAAAAATTACAGGAACTGAGCAATGAGCTACGTAAGAGAAGTAAATCAGAAAACATATCAAAACCAGCCAAAAAAGAAGCACCATGCAAACCATAAAACCCTGAACACCTGCTGAATGCTTATGAGCCAGCCAAGATGAAAAAAGAAAGTGATTCACAAATTCTAGGCACAACGGGTATCTAAATTTCAGTCATGCACTTAACAAAGAATTACATGCCACAAGATACAAATACACAGAGAACAAGCCTTTCAGCTTCTGAACAGAGTTCTCTCTGTACAAGAACAAATTAATTTTACTTCTGTTTAGCTACAGAAAAACCTATTTGATATACCAGATAAGATACTGCTAATAAATGGAGCTTGTTTGGAAATACACTGAAAATTCCTTATACAGAGTACATAAACTACTAAAAAGTAAAACAGGCTGTATTGGGAAAGAGACACAGGGAACACTCTGAGATGCCTGATGCCCCATCAGATGCTCCAGTTCCTACCACTGGCACAGGTACAATATCTTATTATGGGCCTGATGTGCTCTCCCTTCCTCAGTGAGGTGAAATACCAGAAGATGCCCATCACACCCTCACTCCTTCAAAACCCCAGAGCTGAAACACCCTCACTGAAGCCAGCAGGGAATTTCTTGTTTTCTTACAGTTTTCAAGTGAGTAGATGAAGTCACCTCTTGTCCCTTTCTTTCATCTTCCCTTTCTCATTATTGTATCATCAAGGCCAGCTTAAATGTATGTTTGTCCATTCACAGCACAATAGTTTGTTTTCTTATTGATTGCTTCTCTGTTTAAAATCAGACACCCAGGTAGGTGTAGATATGATATAGACATATATAACTCCACAATGCCCTAGTGATGGCATTGTAATTTT